CAACAAAATTCGCTATCTCGTGGCCACGAGTTAGCCGACCATTCAGATGAACACATCTAAGTCGTGGTAACGAGTTAGCTGACCATTAAAATCGAAGATGCGCTCGTTGATTTAGGCGCGAGTAGACATACTTGCCAAAATGGCGGCCTATAGAATCACCGAGTCCAATCGTTCACTATGTTTCCCAGGCGGAGAACGCATGAAGAGATCAATTTCACAGGTGGAAAACCGATACTGTGGTAAAAAAATTGTCTTCAATTTCTTTGAAAATGCATATTTCACAAAACTTTATAGCCTATTCTGATCTCGTATGACTACTTTATCCGACAGGCATCTCAAACTCGCCAAATCTTTGTTAACTTATTAGATCATTATCGACAGCTGCACAAGAAAAGTCACAAAATAGGTAAAATCGCTTTTTGATTGCCAATTACTTGACATCCAAGCAAACTTCTAAACATTTGTATCGCTCTAAAGGTTCTTTATTAACATATCCTCATCCACCAAAGGCCTGTTCTTTTTCTATTCCGTATTTTTGGAGCACAATATTGTTTAAGGGAATTTTCAAAATGAACGCATGAGCCGAACTTTTCATGTGGTTTCATCAGATTGCAAAATGAACGCATGAGCAGGCGAAATTTTTGGATACTCCAGTTTTCATGGATTTCTCACATGTTATCAATCACAGAACCTTTAAATTCCAAAATTTTCGTTTCAAATGTTTGAGCAAACAGAAGTCCCTATTTTCATACATTATGACGAATTGCTTATAAGCAATTGATGAAGGTCTGTTCGATTCTGTGAAAATATAATAAATCCTGATTGCTAAAACTTTGAGTAAAATATTTGCAAAATACAACATCATCGGTTGATGGGACTTAAATTTCCTGTATGTTATAATTAAAGATGTAACATACACTTAAAGATCCTGTGACTCAAAATTTTATGTTCTTATATGAACAATCTTTGGCTTTAGTAAAGAATTAACAATATTAAAAGTTACAGAAACCCTTTTTGACAAGGATATTGCCAAAATTTAAAATTTTCGATAACAAAAGGAGATAATTAGAAATCTGTTTTCGGTAAAAAAAAATCAGTTTTGCATTCAAATAAAAATTTCACAACCTTTTTTCCTCAAGAAATATCATATAATGTGTTTAATAATGTCAACTTCTTAAGTATATGTTTTTCATAAGAACTGACTTTATATTTCGCAAGGATGTTACATCCTTAATTATAACATACAGGATCTTTAAGCAAGAATATATATATCACCTTCCTTACAACAAAATGAACATACAAGAAAATGTTGAAATAACACATATTTTTTTAGGTTCATTATAAGTTTTTCTTTTAGAAATAATACACTTTTTATTTTAATGAAGAATAGGCAAAGTATTTATCAAAATGTGTTTCTAATTACCTCCCTTTATTTACAGAACTTGTTAAATTCGATAATATCTATGTAAGATTTGTAATATTGGTAATTCTTCATTTGAGTATCAGGTTTATCATATTAAACTTTTAAAGTTTCGAGGTCTAGGGACTTTAAAGGAGTATACATACGCTATTATTTGTCATTTGTCCTTCGTTGTATTTGTTGTTTAATATTATTATTATTGTATACAATTATTCATGATTCATGATTTAGTTATCAAAGTACATAGTTTGTAAAACAATCATTTACAATGCGTGCAAAAATCAAGGACTATTCCAAAGTGTCATGTAAGATTATTATGTAAATCAGCTTAATGTCGTCAGTTGTTGATTTTATTCAAAATGACAAGACTTAGTTATCTCTCCGTTTTATGTATTAAACAAAATTCATTTGTTTAAGTTATTCAATAAGAGGTTGTTCCTCCACGGGTATTATGGCGTCGTATTCTTCCATATTCTGTAATATTGATAAAAATACACTTCATTCTAAGTGATAATTTTTGTGTTCTTAGGTGAAATGGATCAGCTCTCTTCTACGCAAATTTTTTATTTGTTTAACAAGTACAACAGCAATTCCGTATATATTATGTATACAAGACAATTTGCACAGTGCAATTATTATTTTTTACCAAATCATAAGCATGTCGACATGCTACATAAATTTCGCATTAAAATGGCTTTAATTTGGTTATTAATTATTTGTACCTTTACCAATTGCTTTGCATTGGACGGCATATAGCACCATACACTACCAAGATTTACTGGGCTTACATAAACATATTCTATAAACTTGTAATTCGTCGTTTAAAAAGGAAATTTATATCGAATGTTGAATATTTAAACGTGATTCGTGTATAATATATTTTCATATGCTCATACTATAAAAACAGGGAAGAAATAATTGTACAAAATAACATGTATTGGAGAAATTCATGAAATTACATCAATGCTACAATCGTTTACAAGTTTTCGAAGAACTATTATGCTTTTCTTTGTCGTCTTAACCACTGCTTTTGCAAATATTACAAACGAGGAATTACTTCAATTTCACACGATATTTCCCAACAGACCTCGTACTTTTGCTTATTAGCATGTATATATATACAGCGTACAAAGTATATTTTAATTTTTAAAAAGAAGTGTCACTCACTTATTTGGAATAAAATTTGAAATTTTTAAAGTTTGAATATGTTAAATTTGTTAGATAATTAGGAAAAACTCGAGTTTTAAAAATACCACCTGCTCATGCGTTCATTTAGCAAATCTATGAAACCACATGAAAAGTTCGGCTCATGCGTTCATTTTGAAAATTCCCTTAAACGATATTATACTCCAAAAATACGGAATAGAAAAAGAACAGGCTTTTGGTGGATGAGGATATGTTAATAAAGAACCTTTAGAGCGATACAAATGTTTAGAAGTTTGCTTGGATGTCAAGTTATTGGCTATCAAAGAGCGATTTTACCTATTTTGTGACTTTTCTTGTGCAGTTGTCGATAATGATCTAATAAGTTAACAAAGATTTGGCGAGTTTGAGATGCCTGTCAGATAAAGTAATCATACGAGATCAGAATAGGCTATAAAGTTTTGTGAAATATGCATTTTCACATTTTTTTTACCACAGTATCGGTTTTCCACCTGTAAAATTGAACTCTTCATGCGTTCTCCGCCTGGGAAACACAGTGAACGATTGGACTCGGTGAGAATGATGTTATGTCAACGAGATAGAATAAAAAGATGACTGGCCAATTTACTCGTGATAACAAGATAGCGACATTTTTTTTCTGAGTTATAACTCGTGGTCACGAGATAGCAATTTTTTTTCTGAGTTATAACTCGTGGCCACGATATAGAAATTTTTTTTCTGAGTGATAACTCGTGGGAACGAGATAACAAATTGTGTTTTTTGCTTTTTTTCTGAGTTATAACTCGTGGGAACGAGATAGCATTTTTTGTATTTTTTTTTTCTGAGTTATAACTCGTGGCCACGAGAAAAAGATTTTTTTATTTATTTTTTTTTCTTAGTTGTATCACGTGGGAACAATAGGGAATTTTTGTTTTGTTCTGAGTTATAACTCGTGGCCACGAGATAGGAAATAATATAAAATCGGAATGTCCCTTCTGTGCTTCTGTAAAAAACACAACAACGAGTTCAAACTCAAGTAGGGTCAAGATATACTACTTTTTTCTATAAACATTAAGCATGTATCTCTCATATCTTTTTCAAAAGAAGAAAGTATCTATTTTTATTAATATTTGTCATATATATATTACTTTAGTAATGCTTAATTTAATTACAAATATGATGCATGAGTTTTTCAAAAATGGTCTAGGTCTTGGGGTCATTTAGTTTGTAATATTAGTTATAAAGATTTAGATACTTTGAACGTAGCATTGCCTTGGATATCTCTACAAAGTTAAATCAATAATGTGGTAATTGTGGTATTGCTTGTGTGAGGTCACTTAGTTTACTTAAATTTAAATTGTATACATGTTACAAAATAGACGTTAAGCATGTAGCATTTTATAGGTACCTCTGTTATCTGTGCTATATTGCAAACAATCGCTTATACAGAGTCATATAACCTGTCAAAAATCTATAAAAAGATGCTCGTTGTATTGATTCGTTATAAATATTTCTGACAGGATATATGGCCGTATGTAAACGGTTGCTTGCAATATAACCCTCATATTTCCAACAACCGTTTATATAGGGCCATATAACCTGTCAAAAGCTTTAACTAATTATATACGAGGGGCTATTGAAATTTTAATACGGCAGACTAGACATATGATAAAAATGTAGATACACCGGATCTCATGTACATAAACAATAAAATGTTTGGAACGGTTTAACATGATAAAATGTTATCAATTGATTGACTTAACTAATGTTTGTTTGTTCTTTATAAAAAACAACAACATAAACATGACATTTTTTGTCCTACCCCACCCCCTCTCCCGCACACACAAAAAATCAAAGGCCATAAACATGTACAATGCTGAACATTGCGATAAGCTAAGCATGTGGATAAGGGACAGTTACCAGATTTGCGCTCCAAATCATTATCGATTTTAGCAATTATGACTCTCTATTGAAGGCAGCCATTTTGATGTTGTTTATCATGAATGAAAGTGAATTCTGTTCTATTGAAAAAAGTGCACGAAAATTTCGTGCGAATACAAATTGCCTACACCTTTCATTGCCAATAATTTTAAGGACATGCAAATATTTTCTATAGTTTTATATTTTCAACGTGAATATACATTTAATTTCAATTAGATCTATTTATTATTAAATAAGATATCAATTATCTGGTCTTTAAACTTAAACGTCGTATTAGTCAGATGCAGTTTCTCGTATATTCTTCAAAAGTGTCTTCTTACAGACGTTTAGAAGACAGTTTGCTGGGGCAAACAACAATTTATCCCCGGCTTCGCCTCTGACAATTAGTTGTTTATCCCTGCATACTGTCTTTGAAGAAAAACTCGTACTGTATCAATTACATATGCTTTGCTTCATGTTTTATTTTATAGTTTAATTTAATATTTCATTTTATCAGATGGCAGAAGGAGGTGAATACAACAATTCAGTACAAGGATCTGATGCAGACTTTGGGTACTCGTGTACACCGTGCGCTGTAGAAGGCAATGATGAAAAAGCGTTGAAATACTGTCCGGATTGTAAAGAATATCTCTGTGCAGTGTGTACAAGATGTCATCTTAAATTTTCTGCAACAAAGAAACACACGCTGCAAGATAACGAACACCAACGTTCTGAGAGAGATTCCATCGAAACTACATCGAATGAGGACAAACTGTTCAAATGTCTCTATCACCTTGAAAGGGATATCGAAATGTATTGCGGTGATCATGACATGGTGTATTGCTCATTCTGTGTTGCTAAGAACCATAGGTAATCATTTTCATACATTTTCTTTTGTATCCAGACATTTCAATTCAACAATGTCGTCGGAATCTATTTGTACTTTTCTTGACTATGATATTTTAAAATTATTTCGACAATGAAACCCTGTTATTCAACTGTTTGTTCACTGCTGTTCCCCGTGTATTGTTAACTGCTTTTTACCTTACCTGTTACAACGTGACAAGGTGAGCTTTTGTATTCGCAATTCGTCCGGTGTCTTCATCCCTTCGTAAACTTTTTCTTTAAACGACATCTCCTCATAAACCGCTAAGCCATTTTCATCCAAGCTTCACAGGAATTTTCCTTTGGTGGTCACCTTAAAAATGTTCAAAGAAATGTATTCCATGCAGAATTCTGGTTGCCATGGCAACCGAAAGAAAAAACTTAAAAAAACCTTCTTTTAATAAACCTAAAGAGCTAAAATTTAGTAATTTGGCATGAAACATCTAGTAAGTGTCTACCAAGTTTGTTCAAATAAAAGCCCTGGGGTCAAAAGTACCCACCCAAGTTGGCCATTGATTTATTTTTATAATTATGATTTATTTTTATAATTATGTATATAGTAAAAACTTAAAAATCTTCTTTTAAAAATTCCAAAGAGCCAGAGCTTAGACATAAATTATGAGATATCTTCAAGTGAGTGTCTACCGAGTTTAATTTATTCAAATTAAAGTCCCGGAGGACATTGATTTTTATTTTAATATGTATATAGTAAAAACAATTATTAAAAAAAATCAAATATCTAGAGCTTAGATATTTAGTATGAAACATCTTCTCGTAGGTGTCTACCAAGTTTATTAAAATAAAAGCCCTGGGGTCAAAATTGCCCCCGCCCTAGGGAATTCATTTATTTTCCTAAAAGTCGTCTTTTAAAAATTCCAAAGAGCCAGAGCTTAGACATAAATTATGAGATATCTTCAAGTGAGTGTCTACCGAGTTTAATTTACTCAAATAAAAGCCCCGGAGGACATTGATTTTTATTTTAATTATATATAGTAATAGCAATTATTAAAAAAACCCTCAAATATCTGGAGCTTAGATATTAAGTATGAAACATCTACCAAGTTTATTAAAATAAAAGCCCTAGGGTCAAAATTGGCCCCGCCCTAAGGGATTCATTTATTTTCCTAATATGTGTATATAGTAAAAACTTAAAATATATTCTTTTGATAAATTCAAAGAGCTAGAGCTTAGATACTTGGCATGAAACATGTTCTAGTGCGTGTCTACCAACAATTTTGTTCAAATAAAAGCCCTGAGGTCAATATTGACCCCACCCAAAAGGGTAATTGATTTTCCTTATTGCCCCCGCCTTTTCGAAGAAAAAAAGGTGATATAGATAGAGGCTCCGCCCGTCTGTCCGTCCGTCACACTTTCGTGTCCGGCCCATAACTTTGTCATTTATTAAAGGAATCTGAAATAACTTGGCACAAATGTTTGTTATAATAAGACGATGTGTCATAAGCAACAACCAGACCCCTACCTCCAAGGTCAAGGTCGCACTTGCTCATTCAAGGTCGACATTGTCTATTTGAGGGTATATGGCGTGTCCGGTCCATAACTTTTTTTATCTTTGAAGGAATTTGTAAATACTTGCCTCGATTACTCACAATAATGAGACGATGTGTCATGCGCAACAATCGGTCACCTACCTCCAAGGTCAATGTCTCACACTTGGAGGTCAAAGATTAACATAGTCTGTTACAGGGAATATTTCGTGTCCGGTACATAACTTTGTCATTTATCAAAGGAATTTGAAATTACTTTGCACAAATGTTTGTTATAATAAGACGATGTGTCATGCGCAACAACCACCCCCTACCTCCAAAGTAAAGGTCGCACTTGCTCATTCAAGGTCAACATTGTCTATTTAAGGGTATATGTCGTGTTCGGTCTATAACTTTCTTATCTTTGAAGGGATTTTGTAAAAACTTGTCACAATTGTTCATGATAATGAGATGATGTGTCATGCGCAACAACCGGTCACCTACCTCCAAGGTCAAGGTCACAACTAGAGGTCAAAGATTAAGATAGTCTGTTATAGGGTACATGCATATTTTGTGTCCGGCCCATAACTTTTTCATATATCAAAGGATTTTGAAAATACCTGGCACAAATAGTCACTTTAATAAGACGATGTGTCATGCGCAACACCTGCATCCCTACCTCCAAGTCAAAGTCACATTTCGAGGTCAAAAATTAACATAGTCTGTATATATTGTGTCCGATCTAAAACTCCTTCATAGTTCAAGGGATTTTGAAAATACTTGGTACAAATAGTAACAATAAAAAGATGATATGTCAAGTACAACACCTGTTCCACTACCTCAAAGGTCAAGGTCACACTTAGAGGTCAAAAGTTTAGTCTGTTATATGGTATATTTTGTGTCCCGTCCATAACTTCTTCATAGTTCAAGGGAGTTTGAAAATACTTGGCTCAAATAGTCACAATGTGATGATATGTCATATGTAACACCAGTGTCCCTTCCTCTAAGGTCAAGGTCACATGTAGAGGTCAAAGATTTACATAGTCTGTTATAGGGTATATTTTGTGTCCAGTCCATAACTTTTTCATAGATCAAGGGATTTTAAAAATACTTTGCACAAATAATCACAATAATAAGACGATATGTCAGGCCCAAAACATGGGTCCCTACTTCCAAGGTCACACTAAGAGGTCAAAGAGTAACATAGTCTGGTAGAGGGTATATTATGTGTTCTATCTATAAGTTCTTCATAGTTCAAGGGATTTTGAAAATACTTGGTACAAATTGTAACAATAATAAGTCGAAATGTCATGAACAACACCTGGACCCCTATATCCAAGGTCAAGGTCACACTTAGAGGTAAAAGCTTAACATTAATTTTATTTCTTAATAAATTTATCGGTGCATTTCAGATCTAGCATTGATCATAATTTTGAACTGAAAGTCCTTAGATCCATACCTCAATCTTTTGAAATAGCACAATTTTATGCTTCATATAAAACTTCCCCGAGGCGGGGGACGTTGGTAACCCTGTTGCAAATTCTTGTTTGTATATAGTAAAAACCTCTTGTTAAAAACTTAAAGATCTAGAACTTAGATATTTGGCATGAAACATCTTCTAGTATCTACCAAATTTGTTCAAATAAAAGCCCAAGGTAAAAGTTGGCTCCGCCGCGGGGTCATTGATTTTCTTTGTTATGTACACATATTTTGGAACTGTTGTTTTCCCTTAGCAATAGCAACCAGTAATGGTTATACACATGCTATATTTCAGATATAAATATGAACTTTGTGATAACAGTTTAATACTTAGATTTTATACCTGTTGCTCATGTTTAAAATATTACTTGTTCCTTTCCAATGAAAGTTTTAATATTCAATTGAGGGTCATCATGACCCTTTTCTTTTAAAATATTTTTACTGAAGACAAAATGTTTGTTTCTTTACATGTTCAATCAACTATTTTAGACGATGCAGCGGAATTCTTGAGCTTAAAGAAGCAGCTGCTACGATTCCTATAAACAAGCAAGACGACATATTGCGACAGATTGATACTTTGCAAGCTGATATACAAGCAACAAGACAGAAGAAAGAAGTCAATTCGATTGCACTTGATCAAGACAAGAATGATATTCTAAAGAGCATTGAAGACACAGAACTTTTGATCATCGATAAAGTCAAAGCTTTAGCTTCAGATGTGAAAGCTAATACTTGTTCTAGATATGATGGTCTGAAAAACGATATTCAACATGAAGATTCCGTTCTTTTGCGTGCTATAACTGATACTGATGAAGTAAGAAAACAGATTAAAGCCCTAGCTGATTTAGATGCAAAGGGGCAATTCGTAAGGTACATGTTACACAAACATACCCTTTCTAAAACAAAAAATATGCATGATAGCGTAGAAAAAGATGAAAAGAAAATGAAATGTTTTAAGAATAACGAGTTTATACAACATGTATCAAGAGCTGAATGGCTTGTTCAAATTGTTGGAAGTAACAGTAGCGTTCCTACCACTGACCAGCCAGTGTACAAAAAGTCACACAGAGAAGTATCTGTCAAGGGAAATGGAGACATGCATACATGCTCCATACTTGGAATTTGCCAGCTTAATAATGGTACATTTTTAATAGCAGATAGATCTAATAAATCTCTCAAAAGTTTGAATAAAGACTTCAGTATCATTGGAGAACACAATCTTGATTCTAGTCCTATTAGTATTTGTACGGTTGGCAAAACTGAAGTAGCTGTAAAACTGCACAATCATACTGTACTGTTTGTTTCCATTGATGACATATTTATTGAAAAACAGTCATTTATTACAGAAGGCAGTGGCCTAATTGGTCTTGTGTATTATTGCAACGAACTTTGGTCCTACACTGGAAATGGTATCACGGTCTATAACAGAGAAGGAACGGTCATAAAAACTATCACACACAATGCATTTGAAGGAACACTTTTCAAGGCGGTTGGTAAAAATCTTGTCCCAGTTGCATCTGATAGAGAGTTTATATATGTATCAAATTTGGATACTCAGGCAGCATGTATAGATAAGGACGGAAACGTGTGGTCAATAATGGGTTTGGAAAGGCTCAAAAGAGCAAGGAGAGCTTGTATTGCTGAAAATGGTATCATTTTTCTTGCAGGATTCATCTCGGGCAATATTATGATGTTCAATAAAAAAGGTAAATGTTTAGGGGAATTGTTAGACGGATTAGACAGTCCAGACTCTCTGTGTTTTGACAACAAGAACCACCAACTGATTGTTGGACATGAAAACAGGAATACTATTACAGTAATATCTGTAGATATATGTTTGTAAACTAGATGGTAGTGACAGGAACAAATTTAGATGCAGATAAATATTCCATGACTAACTCTGATAAAAATCAAATATAACTTAGACTACTTAGGTAATGAGATATTTTATAATATTTTGGGTTATGTGAAACATTAATTTTGATTAAATTTGAAACCATCGTGCATTTGAATACATGTATATAATACATGCATATTTAATTTGATTAAATTTGAAACCACTATTTATTTGAAACAGTTATTTGAGAAGCATGATGACAAAGGTTATATGCTCTATGCTCCAACTACCTGTTTGTATATGTAGAGTAGTAGATGACCACCAAACTTCCGACTAATCCCAAACTGGTGAGACACCCATTAAATGTTACATCATCCATTAATTTAAGCACGAAATTGAAGGCAGTGCGGGATCATCGGAAATGTAATACACGGAAAATTCCGCGCTTTTCCCCTGCATTTTCATGACAGTGTTGCAAATTACTATTGCTAATTTTGACAACATTTGGGTTATTTGTTCTTTCCTGTTATGAAAGAATGTATGTTTCATTTCAATATATGTAGCAAGTTAAACTCAATGTTGTTTATATTACATTATTTTCCTACGATGTATAATTATGATGTCCGGTATAAATATATATTGACAGATAAGAATCGAGATTTTAACAGACACTTTTATATAAGGAAAATAGTAGAACAAAAATACCATAACATTGTTAATATTGATAATCATATGAATAAAAATGACACTACTTTTTGCATATTTAAAATGCAGACTGGATTATTTTCGGTTATGAGGTGATTGATCCCTGATTAATGAAAAAAAGGATAAGGTTTGGTTTGACTCCGTTTTCCTTTTTCTTTTACAGCTATTTATAGTTTTAGCAGAATTTTTTCATTCAGTAAACAAGTTGTTAAAAAGTTGAGAACTTTCAATTATTCATTACATTTTTGTTGATCATATTTTGTAAATATTGCCATCTTTCGATATGAGAAAAAAATTGTAAGATGTTGTAAGAAATAAAATAGGAAAACATACAGTGAAATTTGTTTTATATTTAAATGTTATATGAAACAGTTTCTGAATCATTTTGGCATTTTATGTTCCACATCTACTGTCAGAGATTTAAATAATCTAACTGCATCTCTCGGACACCACCCTTTCTTTAAAACAATTTTCAGTGATATCAATCTAGTTATTTGTTTAATGATAATAAAACTTCATAAGGTTGCAAACATATTTTTGATCATGGGACGTGCATGAACTTTCCTTTTTTTCTCAACATTATAGAAGTTGTAGCAAAGTATTGATAATAAAATGTATTTGAAGTTCAATATTGAGAAGTTGTTTTATCTATTATTTATATAGTCTTCCGTTAATAATAATTATTGAAACAACTTGATGTTTCCAGATATGCATTATCAGAGGACTGCATGTGATATATTCTTTTCTACATAAATTCACGCCTTAATAAGCAACAACAGTTTTATACTTTAGATTGTATGTTTGTTTTACCAAGAGTAAAGGATTACATTGGCTATATTATTAGAAAAAAACAATATCAACTAAATATATTAGATCTAAATGTGGACTCAGATCAAGGCTAGTCCGCCTCCGTGGTCGAGGGATTAGAGTCGATGACTTCTAATCCAGTTACCTCTCTTGCGCGGGTTCGATCCCCGGGACATGCTTTGGTAGTTTAGCGCGGAGGAAGGTAGTCTAGTACTGGTGGTTAGGAAACTACTATGACTGAAATACTGTTGGAAAAGGCGTAAAATGAAACAAACAAACAAACAAGATCAAGGTTAATCAAAACAATGAAGAATAATAGTAAAGATATACCTGAATGAACTAGCCATTGCCTGGCGGAAATAAATCATTAGCCAAACGTTTTTGACAAAAACCTATCCGTCTTAAATGTGAATGATAACAGCATTTAAGAACTCGCACTAATTCAGCAAGACCGACAGTAAACAAAATTCATATAGCCTCATAAAGAATTCGTCTTTAGTTTTACTTCTGGACACAAAACATCCTTGAGCTAATACTTATGACACCAATCGCAAAGAATACAAAAGGTTACAATGAAAGAAATATAGGACATCGAATGAATGTATGCTCAATACTGAATATATCAAATGAATTGATGCAAGACTCTTTAAACTATACAAATACAGATCTAGTATTCTTCTTGTCACATACCCACAATCAGAGTCGTATTCGGTAAAAGAGAATCGTTTGTTTCATTGATGCATTTATTTATAAAACAATATAACTACATATGCCAGTTACAAAAATGTGAAGCGCAATCATCGAATATTACAGTAATTGCTATAGAAATTAATTATGTTCATATAAACATGTGATATAACACAATTTATTTCAAACCTTATCAAAATATAATCAATGCACTTCCAGTATATACACCACGTGATGTTCAAAAAGAAATCATTATTGGATCCAGTCTTATTAGTTTAACAGGGTTTTCATTTCCAGAGTCCAAAAAGTCAGTATCAAATCCATATCACACCCCATATAGCCTCATTTCTATTTCCAGAGTCCAAAAGGCTAATCAAATCCATATCACACTATTTATTGCCTCGTTTTCATTTTAAAAATCTAAAATATCTTTATCAAATTCATATCACATTTCATCTAGCCTCGTTGTCATTTTGATACTCAATTCTTATAGTAATTTAGTAATAGAAGTTTTAAAGTTCTGTCAAAATGTCAAATAATGCTGGTATGAAATAAAGAGATCATTAAACATAGTTGAGAACAATACGAATTCTATTTGACTCGTACACAGCTGCAAAATCTATACCAGACTCGACTAGCGCCTCCTTCATTATCGTTTTGACTGCTTCGATACTGTACTTCGATATTGTGCTCAACAATGTATAATAACCTCATACTATTACACTTTAACTCAGAATGATATAAAATACTAACCTGTAAATATCCAAGATAATATACATGAATAAACATACAACATAAACTGCCTGTGACACAACGTGAAAGGCAATGAGGCATCAAGGCACTCGAACATAGGCTATCTAGCTGAATATTTGGTCGGGATTAAGAACATGAAATATACAATAAAATTATTAGGATTGTTTCATACAAATGTAGTTTATTATAATACGACAATTGAACACAATTAAATACAACCAAATATATCTTGTCCTAGGGGCACATGCACACATTTTTATATTGCGGATGATTCTACAATACCTTAAGACAAATGTGCCGATCTGGAATATACCTATCAACGGAACAATTTTGCAAATGCACAATCTGTAAATGGGAAAACGCAGATTTTAATTAAAAAGAAATTCATTTGATAAGTTATGCCGAAACGAATCCATATTCGATTTATCATGAAATAGGTATGAAATTAAACTTATAAACGGTCATATTCGGCCTCCGTTAAATCGGACACCGTACACAATCGATTAGTAGATCCCATAAGTTATGCCGAAACGAATCCTTATTCGATTTATCATGAAATAGGTATGAAATTAAACTTATAAACGGTCACACTCGGCCTCCGTTAAATCGGACACCGTACACCATCGATTAGTAGATCCCATAAATTGTGTTATCTTGAGTACTGATAATATACTAGTATGTAACATACGGATGGACGTTGGAGTCTTGTCATCCACAAACAGATTACTGATATAATTGTTAGCGAAATCGAAAGTGTGGGACAAACGGAAAAAAGTAAGCGTTTTTAAATATATTTATTATTGGTTTATTTTGCTGCAGATTTTGAAAATGTTTGAACTCTGATTGGCTATTTACTTATGAAAAAAATCTCATATAAATGAAAAAGTGTTACTTTGCTCGAACTTCAGAGGATTCACTTCTGAAGTGAGTGTAATGAATTTATTAAAAAATACAAGTTTAGGTAATTAAATACTAGTAGTGTTTTTCAACCAGTTAATATTTGTGTTTGATCTGTATACGTTACTCAGAAGTATGAAATGTTGAAATGAAGTTTGAATATCATAATCAGTTAAAGCAGTATACGTCCAGATTCATGCTAATTTTCATTGTGAAGTGAGCAAAGAAGTAGTTTACACATTGAAAACTGTACTTACTCTAACAATCCACACGAATGATCAAAAAGAAAACAGAAAGGTCAAAAAATACAAAAATAGTCCTTACTGTGCGAGTCACGAGCAGAAATATGATGATTTGTACTGCAGAATCAGTCATTAATCGCACAGAACATGCAAATCATTACTTCAATTTTGAATCGTTTTACTTTTTTTCGTAGAATCTTAGCACATTTACATTTTTCTCAAGTTTGATTTTCTTTAAATACTTTGGCACATCTGGAGACGTGAAGCTTTAAACACAAACGAGGTTGATTCGGATGTTTATTCCCTAACAATTAAAAGCATTGTCTTAGAAGAAATACAGAGGTATTGCATGTAACATCACTTTGTGGTTTACTCCAAAAATTATATAAATCATACATTGTCTTGTGGACCTACAGAAATTAACTAATATTAGAAAAATCTAATAACCTAGAGCTTTAATATTTCGAATGTATCATTGCCTTTTGAAAAGTTATATAATTTAATCATATACTTGATGACAAATGTGAAAATACCTAATGACAAATGTGATGATGCCGTTTTAGGATAACCTTAGTTTTCATAGACTAATACAACAAAAGTGTCTAAGAAAATCTCCTCGGAAACTATAATGGCCAGATTATAGGAATCACGTTGTGGTCATCTTCAAAATTCATATATCACATAATTCATGTCCCTTGAGTCATTCTTAACTCCTACCCGGGGATATTGAGTTATTTAAAACACATTTTATTGTGGAAAACAACAATGCCCACAGCTTTGAAACTTAAGATGTGTCCTCTACAAAATTGTTTAAACGTCTGCATATACTTGTATTTCTGTGAAGGACAAATCTCGTTTTTTTCTTAGCAGATGGGCATGCTCGAGAAAATGACGCATGCGTAGCAACGAAACACGTTGTTCAAAGGGCAAAAGTACGGAATGCCGTTAGGGCCATCGCCTATAAATGTGTTGATCTAAAACGCGATAGTCGATAGTACGATGGTGAAAACGCGAAATCACGAAACTACGATGGTGAAAACGCGAAAGCACGATGATGAAAACGCGATAGTACGATGATGAAATCGCGACAGTACGATACTACGATGATGAAAACGCAATAAACTATCGTGTTTTCACCATCGTACTGTCGCGTTTTCACCATCGTAGTTTCGTGATTTCGCGTTTTCATCATCGTACTGTCGAGTATCGCGTTTCAGATCAAACCATTCATAGGCGATAGCCCTAACGGCATTCCGGAATGCCGTAAGGGCCATCGCCTATGAATGTGTTAATCTGAAACGCGATAGTCGATAGTACGATGGTGAAAACACGAAATCACGAAACTACGATGGTGAAAACGCGATAGTACGATGATGAAAACGCGATAGTACGATGATGAAATCACGACAGTACGATGGTGAAAACGCGATAGTACGATGATGAAAACACGACAGTACGATGATGAAAACGCGATAGTACGATGGTGAAAACGCGATAGTACGATGGTGAAAACGCGATAGTACGATGATGAAAACACGACAGTACGATGATAAAAACGCGAAATCACGAAACTACGATGGTGAAAACGCGACAGTACGATGGCGAAAACACGATAGTTTATCGCGCTTTCATCATCTTAGTATCGTACTGTCGCGTTTTCATCATCGTACTTTCGCGTTTTCATCATCGTGCTTTCGCATTTTCACCATCGTAGTTTCGTGATTTCGCGTTTTCATCATCGTACTATCGACTATCGCGTTTCAGATCAACACATTCATAGGCAATGGCCCTAACGGCATTCCGTACAAAAGTAGGTACACGTCGTTGATTTTGGATTAAGAACAAAAAAGACAACATGCAGTATTAGTTAAAAGTTTGTTTTCAAATGTGTATATACATAAATGCATATGTAATTGAAAATTCAGGCTCAACAGAAATATTGCATATTACATAGCTGCTTTACAACAAACAACCCTCTACTAATAAAAGTAATAAAAAAAGTATAGTGCCACGCATTGCTCAGTGTTCGATTTTATAGTTTAATTTCATATTTGATTATATCAGATGACAGAAGGAAGTGGATACAACAAGTCAGTACATGGATCTGATGCAGACTTTGAGTACTCGTGTACACCATGCACTGAAGAAGGCAATGATGCAAAAGCGTTGAAATACTGTCCGGAATGTAAAGAGTATCTCTGTGCAGCATGTATAAAATGTCATCTTAAATTTTCTGCAACGAAGAAACACATGCTGCATGACAAAGAATACAAACATTGTGAGGAAGATTCAGTTGAGACCATATCGGATAAGGAAAATATGTTCAAATGTCTCTACCACCCAGACAGGATTATCGAGATGTATTGTTGTGATCATGACATGGTTTTCTGTGCTCTATGCATTGCTAAAGAACATAGGTAACCAAATGCATTGTTTTATTAAAATAATGCTGTTTGTATCTAAACATTTTAATAATACATGTACAATAATGGCGTCATAAATTGAGCCGCGTCATGACAAAACCAACATAATGGGTTTGCGACCAGCATGGATCCAGACCAGCCTGCGCATCGGCGCAGTCTGATCAGGATCCATGCTGTCCGCTATCAGTTTCTCTATTTGTTATAGGGTTTGTAAGCGAACAGCATGGATCCTGATCAGACTGCGCGTATGCGCAGGCTGGTCTGGATCCATGCTGGTCGCAAAACCATTATGTTGGTTTTGTCGTGACGCGGCTCATTTCTTTTTTATGGACAATATTATATTCATATTTTAAATAATAAATAAATTCCTTTGTCCTATGCTTCTTTGTGTAAATTTGTAAATTGCATTTTGAATTGCTTGTTTCTTTAAATTATGCTGTTGTATTTTGTTCTTTTTAACAATTGAAGGCACTGCACTGGAATACTAGAACTTAATGAAGCAGCTAATAGGATTTCTATAGACAACGAAAACATCATACTGAGTAAAGTCGACTCTTTGCAAGCTGTAATACAGGTAACAAGAGAGAAGAAAAAAGTAAATCTGAATACACTAGATAAGGAAAAGAATGAAATTGTAAAAACCATTAAAGACACGGAACGTTTGATGATTGACAAAGTCAAAGAACTAGCGTTTGATGCACAAACAAAGGCTTGTATTAGATATAATGGTTTAAAGGAAGAATTGCAAGAAGAATATTTTGTTCTGTTGCAAGCTTTAACTGAAACTACTGAATTAAGAAGTAAAGTTAAAAACAAGGTGGACCTAGATGAAAAACGACAATTTGCAAGACACATTCTGCAAAAACATAGTATGGCCAAACTAGAGAATAAGTACAATAGCGTAGAAAAAGATGAAAGGAAAATGAAATGGTTTAAAAATGAAGAATTGATACAATACTTGTCAGCAGCTGATTGTCTTGTTCAGGTTGTTGGAAGTAAAACCAGCTTTAATATCAAAGACAAACCAATTCGCAAAAAGTCACAGAAAGATATAACCATAAAAGGAAATGGAGACAAACAGACCTGTAGCATAAATGGAATCTGCCAGCTTTTTGATGGTACAATTATTCTATGTGATCGCGCAAATAACAAGTTGAAAAAGCTGAATGAAAACTATAGCATTACAGAAGAATTCAAATTAGTATCTAGTCCATCGGGTATTTGTTTAACAGGCAAAACTGAGATAGCAGTTAAACTCAAAGATCACACTATATTGTTTATTTCGGTTGAAGACAAATTTAATGAAACACATTTCATAAAAATCCAGGGCGGTGACACTGTTGGTATTGCTTCCATTTGCAACGAAATTTGGTGCTTTACTGGAACTGACATTAAGGTCTATAACCGTTGGGGAACGGTCATAAAAACCTTCAATAATGAATCATTTGTAGGAACAATATTCAACCCTGTTGGGAAAGAACTCGTCCCAGTTGCAACAGACGGTGCGTTTATGTATGTATCAGATTTGGGTAACAAAGTTGCATGTCTAGACAGGGAACGAAACGTATGGTCGGTTATGGAAAGTAAACGGTTGCGGTTAGTAAGAAAAGCTTGTATTGCTTCAAAGGATATCATTTGTATCGCAGGATACACCTCGGGGAATGTTATGATGTTCGATGGAAAGGGTAAATGCTTAGGAGAATTGGTAGATGGTTTAATGGAACCAGATTCTCTATGCTACGATAACAAGAAACAGCAGCTGCTTATTGGGTACAGAGATTTGAATATATTGACAATTATCAAAATGGATGAATGTTTATAGGAAAGATATAAAAGTAATTAAAAAAAAGAAATTAAGAATTGACGTGTTATGACTTATATACAACTTTTGTCAAACGTCACTGGAAGTACTGGATAAGTTAATCCCAGATATCACCACCAAAAGGAAATACTCTCTAAAACAACCCGATTCAACAATAATAGACGCTCCCGCCTTGTTCCCCTACTGAACAAAATGGAACGAGACTGTCAATTATAATCAAAAAGATATATTTTTGTTAAGTATTACTTTGTAATGTTTTCTATGTATGTGAAGTGAAATAAAAGAAATATTGCAAAATCTAAAAATGAAATATACATAAGTAAAAGAAAAACAATGATTATGATTTGTGCAAAAGCTAGATGTCTGTTTTCCGATCAGTATTTGTAAACGTTAAAATCATAATTCGTCCAGAATCATTCTATTTTTTATGATAATAAAACTGTTCTAAAAGAAATGCACAATTAGTTGTCCAAAAAGTGACTTTAACTAGAGTAAGGCAAACGAAATATAGGGGCGATGAATACTATTTAAGACATAAGCATAAATACGCAAATACTAAGACAGAATGTATTTTTTATGCATGCTTTAAATTTTAGAATGAACAAATTGAGTTCTCTTATTCTAGATATAATACATTTTAGTTAAATTCATTATATTTTTGTCCCTATATGCATGTTCTGTTGTTGTTGGCTTTTCTATTTCAGAATGCTACATTAAAATTTAAGATACATATGATTGCCGTTGTATATCTTTCATGTATTACCTTTTCAAAATAAAGATATTATTATACATGAGGCGCGTCACGACAAAACCAACATAGTGCGTTTGCGACCAGCATGGATGCAGACCTGCCTGCGCATCCGCGTAGTCTGATCAGGATCCATGCTGTTCGCTTACCAACCCTATAACAAGTAGAAAAACTGATAGCGAAAGTGATAGTGTAAGCCGACTTAGAGACGTGCCCCTTTGTGGACAATTCTTTACATTTTTTGAAAAAAAAAACTATATTTCAAATTCATGTACGCCGCTGGGTGAAAAGTTACACCGTATTATCGTTTCTCAGTGGGATATTTACAATTTGAATGATTAATTTTAAGAAGAATTTCATAGAAAGGGCAAAATATTTGATTAGCTTTCTTGACTACAACACATCTGTATACAGTAGCGTATAATGAAGCCATTATTGTTGACTCCTTTTTTTCCACCATGAGTGAACGCTCATGTCATTAAGTTGTGCACCTACGACGTTGTAATCATTTTGAATTATTTCATATTCAATAAGCTACACTTTCCATACATGTATCATATCAAATTAATGAATAATCAATTGTAAGGGAATAAGGAGTTCACAAAGTAAAAAGTATCCTAACATGACATTCACGTTCGGTTAAAGATCCTGTAACACATTTTTTATGGTTTATATCATAAATATGATGCATCAATATTGTAAGTATTCACAAAGATATTACCGAATTAACATTTCATGTAAATCAAGGGAGGTAATTACAAATTTATTTTCTATAAAGTCTAAGTCAAATTTTTCAATAAGAAATGAATGCATATATTTTAATGATTACATATAATGTGCACACATATTTGCAGTATACATTTTACATATTCTTCGATGTTTGAAAATTGTTTTATAAGCATAATTATGAACATATATAGAATTTTACTTTAGTGTGGTAACAACCTTAAGTAAAACATACAGGATCTTTAGGCGATCTTTGGACGCATGCGCCACTCACTTTCAATGATATTTGTAATTTGGTACTTTCAATGATATTTGTAATTTGGTACTTTCAATGATATTTGTAATTTGGTACTTTCAATGATATTTGTAATTTGGTACTTTCAATGATATTTGTAATTTGGTATTAAAACCCCTTCTGTATTGTTCCACTTTATTTTTCCGTTATCCAAATATGAATGTTAAATATCAAAACCATTTCTGATGTTTATATGGCATTATTGGTTTGTGACAAAATCAGTAAAGCTTGTGAAACAAATCACAAATCAAGTATTTCGTAGATAACATTGGTTTGAATTGGGAGGCATTGCCAGTTCTATTATTTTATTACCAGAAAAATGGATATGATGAACATGCTTCTGATAGGAGAAGAAAACGATATTGGAAAGTCCGGATGTTTGTCACAAGTACCAAAAGTTTTGAATATATATGACCATGGCTAACAAGATATTATTGCAACATCAATTAAATATTCAATATTTTTAGGATAAGTGCAATGTCCATCAATCCACCATATAGTCATAGCGTTAATCCGTTTCGATAATTGTTAATATATCCTTGTTTTTATGCCCAACAATCAGCTGTCTAGTCCTGCTGACGTAACACAAAGAGTCTGGATTTACTAAGCCGTCAACCAATTCTCCTAAGCATTTCCCATTTTTATTGAACATCATTATATTGCCTGATGTATATCCTGCGAGGAAAATGATATCACTTTGTGTTATACAACCTCTCCTTACTCGTTCGAGTCTTTCAAAATTTATAATCGACCACACGTTTCCTTCCTTGTCAATGCATGATACTTGACTGTTCACGTCGGTCAAATAAACAAACTCATTATCAGCGTCAACTGGGTAAAGAAATGGCTCGTTTGGTTTAAATTTTGTTCCTTCAAATGATTCACTACAAAAAGATTTCACGACTTTACCAAGTTTATTATAAACTTTAATGACGTTATCAACTGAGCACCACAGTTCATTGTGAAGACAAGCAAGTCCAATACTGCTGTCAATTTCTAAATTTATTGAATGTCCTTTTGTGAATTTATCATTGATGGAAACGAACAATACTGTTTGGTTTTTAAGCTTAACAGCTACTTCAGAATTTCCAGTCAAGCACATTCCTAATGGAGTTGAATTTAAATCAAGTTCCTCTGTGATTATGAAATCCTTACTCAGCCTTTTCAGCTTATCATTAGAGTGATCAGCTACAATGACTGTTCCATCAAGAAGCTCGCAAATTCCATATATGCTGCATGTTTGTTTGTCTCGATTTCCTTTAATAACTACTTCTTTTTGTGACTTCTTGCTCAATATCTTGTCTTTCGTTTTATTTCCGCGTGTATTTGCAACAATTTGAACAAGACAGTCAGCTGACGTAACTTGTTGTATCAACTCGTCGTTCATAAAACATTTCATTTTCCGTTCATCTTCCTCGACGCCTTCAATTATTTTCTCCGTTTGTAAAATAATATCCTTTTGTAAAATATACCCTGCAAATTGTTGCTTTGCATCTAACTCTTTTTCGGCTTTAACCTTACCCTTCAATTCACTGGTATCAGTAATTGCTTGCAAAAGAATGGACTTTTCGTCCTGAATATCCTTTCTCAAATCATCATATCTAATACATGTCTTTGCTTTCGCATCTGCAGCTAGGTCTCTGACTTTGTCAATGATCAAACGTTCCTTGTTGTCAATGGTTTTTAGAATTTCATTCTTTTCCTGATCAAGTGCAATCAAATTGACTTCTTTCTTTTGTTTCTTTGCCTGTAAATCTGTTTGCAGTGAGTCGATTTGTCGCAATGTTTCGTCTTTATTCTTTACAGGATGTTTTTCAGCTGCTTCTTCAAGCTCTAGAATTCCACTACATTGCCTAAAACATTAAAAGCAAATTCAAACTTTAATCGAGCATTTTAAGTTGATAAAAATGGTTCATCATATTTACAGAATGAAAATACAAATGAAAAAGTTACCGAAACAACATTCATTTAAAGAGCTATTTAACTTTCTAATAAATAGTGATGACAAACATTTACATTATTTTGATACAAAGAACAACGCACAATACCTATGATGGTGGGAGAAGTGGATTAAATTACCTGTGGTCCTTAGCTATACATAGAGAGCAAAACACCATTTTATGAGCATCGCAGTACATCTCAATATCCCTGTCTGGATGGTAGAGACATTTAAACAATTTGTCCTCATCTGATGTAGAATCTACGGAATTTCCCTCATATCTCTGGAATCCGTTATCTTGTAGCGTGTGTTTTTTCGTTGCGGACACTTTTTGATGATATTTCACACACGCTGCACATAGATTCTCTTTACATTCAGAGCAATATTTTAACGACTCCACAATGGTACCATCATCAGCGCATGGGGTACACGTGTACTCAAATATTTCATTGGATCCTAGCACTGCACTGCTGTATTCGCCTCCTTCTGCCATCTAATTAAATATAAAAGGTAAATCATATCAAGTGAAAACTACACGAAAGTCTCTGTAAGACAAATGTTCAAATGATAAAAACAAACAAAATTTACTTATTATGGATTTACTCTACATTATTTCACATGTTCCCTTACGCACTTTTTATATCTGTAACAGTTAATGTTTATTTTTGGTAATGTCAGTGTTTGCTGAAGACGTCAACTTTAACATTACTTTAAAGTTCAGTTTTGAAATAAATAAGTAGGCTATTAGGTATCCCAGTATAGAATTAAAAAAACTGCGGTTGAATCCTTAAGACCGTGTACATGTTTCAAGGGTTTAACATAAAACATTATTAAGCATACCGCTCTACAATCATTACGATATTGAGAGTTAGACTATGAGTCTTTAATCGATGTTTGCAAAATATAACACTTTAACAATCTGCCATGTTCTAGTAATTGGTTTAATTTAGTTTCATGAAATAACATTTTGAAAACTGATGACCTACTTATACTTTTAATAACAATGCGCGCGTTCGACTTGCTTAGTCTAATGGGTATCAATTTCATATTGAAACTTTCAAATAAGTTACTAAATAAATTGTTAAATCTATCTGCTTTATACAGTTAGGAATAGTATATCAAAACACTTACTTTAGTCAATAATGTTCTCAAAGGCGGTGCCATTTTCGTTTCCGACTTCGGTCAAGTTTGTAACTCTGTGAATATGCTACTCGGATTAACATTTCAATACGTACACTAAAATGGGTCGCAGATCTGTTTTGTTGAAAAGTTGATAGAGTTACATATAAATGGAAAAATAAATAATATGTTGTAAATGTATCTTAATTTCAATGTTTATTTATAAGAATACTTGTATACATCTTATAAGTAACTTTCTGTTTGAAGTATTTATAGCATATATGTATTAAGAAAAAAATATCTTCGTCATTTTTCGGAGCATGCTGGTAGTATATCTGTATGAACAGAGAGAATTTTACTCTTATTTGATGAAAAAAGTATGTGAGGCGCCTTTCGATGAATACTATACTAATGTCTCGTGGCGAATAGAAAAGGAAAGCACGATAACCTTAATGAGGTCTGGAACATTTTATTTCTTTATCTTTTGTAACTAATTTAGTGACATTTCATGAGGGTCAAACAAAGAATATTGCTGCCTCCTTTGACAAATAAATTAATTAGCATCCTTAACATAAACGGTATGACATCACTCACAAAAGGAAAATATACAATCAAGAAACACTTGATTTGTTAAGAAGATGCCAAAGTTGATTTTATTGGAGCTTTTTCAAAGCCCCCCCCCCTTAAGACATTTCAGATGTTATTTGCAGAAATGCGTTTTATTTTCTTTAACATTATAACTATGATTAAAAAACGCGTTTTTTAAATCATGTTTTATAGTCGAATGGTAGGCCCTACATTTTGTATTTTAATTTGCGTATTTCCCTACTTATTAAGTCCAAGTGTGTAGTATTTAAAAACAAAACAGATAAATAAAAAGTAAAACAAAAACATTGATAATGATTTGTCAGAAAACTATTTGCCTGTTTTCCGGTCAGTTTTTGTAATCGTTAAAATCATCATTCGTCCAGAATTGTTCTATTTTATGATAATACAAAACTGTTCTTAATAGTAAAAACATTATGCTTTATGATCATGTCACGCGGAAAATAAAAACGAGTCACCAACGGAATCAGACGAGTGGTGTTTTAACTGCGGTTACTGAGAATATAAAGTTTCAACAAATAAATACAGAATGAACAAAACGACAATGCCACGCCGAAAACTGCCGGACGATTTGCTTGCGTTACAGGTTTGGGCCTTAAATTGCACAACTAAAACCCTCCAAACTAAAAAAAAACAAATCTGAAACGGAATCACATCAATGGTGTTTTAACGACGGATTCGAAAAAAATGTTTTTTTTTATAAACAAAAATTTAATTAAATTATATACAGAAAAACCCGCAGTATCAAGAAACGAACATTCCACGCGGAAATGCGTCGGACCTATTGCTTGGGTTAGGGCTTTGGGCCTTATATTGCGCAAGAAAGACCCTAAAAAAAAAAAAAAAAAAAAAACTAAATAAAAAAACGAGTCCTCAACGGAATAAGAAGGGTGGTGTTTAACGGTTGGCTGAGGATTATGTTGTTTTAAACAAAATTTTTAGTCTTTGTATACAGGAAGAGCAAATCGTCGGTCTAAACAATGACTAGGACAAGCAGAATCTCCCGGACATTTGACTTGGGTTAGGGCTTCGGGCCTTATATTGCTGTAAAGATAACCCTCAAAATAAATACAAAAACGTATCCGGAACGTCATCAGACGAGTTTTGATTTAACGGTTGGCTCGGGAATATTTAATAAAATTAATAATTCATTTTTATGTACAGACAGAGCAAATAGCCGGTCCAAGATACGACCATACCATGCGGAAACCTCCCGGCCGTTTAATTTGTGTTAGGGTTGGGGTTTAAATTGTGCAAAGAAGACTCCCAAACTAATACGAAATCCGCAACGGAATCAGACAAGTGGTGTTTTAACGGTTGTCTGGAGTTTAGGTGTTTTAAATATAATTTGATACATTTTATATACAGAAAGAACTAATCGCTGGTCTAAGAAACCAACATACCACGCGAAATTCTGCCGGACTTTTTGCATTGATTAGGGTTTTTGGCCTTAAACTGCTTAAAGAAGACCCTTCAAACTACTACAAAAGTGAATCTGAAACGGAATCAGACCAATGTTGTTTGAATGTCTGACCCATAAAAATGTTTTTTTTAACAAAAATTTATACACTTTATAAAAAGAGAGAACAAGAACGACCATGTCACGCAGTAATCGCCGGATGCTTTGCTTATGTAAGAGCTGATCAAACTAATACAAAAACGAATCCGGAACAGAATCAGATTAATGATGTTTTAACGGCAGACTTGAGAAAATGCTGTTTTTAACGAAAATTTACACACTTTATATATAGAAATCTGAGGACGTTAAATTGCGCAAAGGAGATTACTAATCCACTTATACAAAAACGAATCCGAAACGGAATCAGCTGACTCGAAAATATGGTGTTTTTAACGAATTTTTGTAAATATATTATATACAGAAAGAACAAATCGCCGGTCAAAAAAATTTATAAAAGGCTATCACCCTAGGTTGTGTGAGCTTTACTTTTTTCACTGCTGCTATCACTCTGTGTTAATCACTGTGGGTTATGTGAGGTTTACTGTAATCCCACGGTGATAGCCCCCTTATAAGGCTTGTTAATCATCGCATACAAACACATCAATACAGCATGCATCATTTCTTCTATATGAATTTTACAAGAACAAATTAGGTTCGTTGCGATTTGTAATATAATTCAATTCCTTAACAGATTCCAAAATTGTTGTTCTAATTATTCATAACATGTGCCATAATTTACTTTTTTTTAAATGAAATAATATACATGTAGATTCCTTTTTTTCTTATGTTTTTTCTCCTTCAAAAATTCTATAAGGGACTACAATTCACGGAATAATGATCTAAAAAAATCATGACTTAAAAGTAATTTGTATTGATAATATATAAAAGGCTGATAACAATTTAGAAAAATATAAATTAAGAAAATAATAGGTAGAAATAATCACGAGAATACAAGAGTTTTCTTTCAATGAGTATTTTGTATTATTATAAATGTAATGGCATATCACGAAGAAATTGTCATTCTTAAGATTTGATAATTTCGTTCTAAAAATTTCTTGATATTTCACGAAAAAACATTTACGTTTTACTATGGAATGATATTGAGGTAAAAAATACACAATGCCTGCTTACTGTTACAATTTACTTATTGACACTGCTATTGTGCTTATTGGTACAGTCACTATGCATGCTTGTACTTTCATCACGCTTGTTGACAGTTACACACTGCCTGCTTACTGTTACAATTTACTCATTGACACTGCTATTGTGCTTATTAATACAGTCATTATGCATGCTTGCACTTTCATCATGCTTGTTGACAATGATATCATGCTTGATGGAAGTTACAACTTGTTTGGTGTTTTGTCTCTGATGCCTTTTTTCATATTTTCATTTGAGTGAATGACAGTGCAATCTAGCGTGCTGTGCCAATGGTTATCTTGGTTAATTTGTAATGCACCCAAGAACAAAATACACGAAGTGATCAACCAGTATGGAAAATGTTATTAGGCACTAGGCAAAATATAACTAAGCATAATGTCACTTCAAAATTATGAGTCACATTTTGATAACAGGGGGCGCTATGTTCTAGTCGTGTTTTTCCGTAATTTGAATAATTTTTTCCCGGAAAGGTTATCGTGAATCCGAATAATGTATAGAGAGATCTATCAATAGTTACTTCCCCTTCTTTTCAATTTGCCATTTGTCGTAACTTTTATTTAGCAAAAAGATTACAAATAGACTGTCGGTCACTTCTTTTACCCCTAGCATTGACTAAATATTCTGTATGCATGCCATATCGTCCAAATATAGGCCATAACAATTAACATTGACTCATTGTTCAAAATTTTGACTGTAAGTTTTATGCCAACTGGAATTAGTCAGTAATGATGATGGTACATCTAATTTAAGTAATTTGATTTGATTTAGGGGCCAGATTAAATTTTAGCTCGCCTTCTACATCTCATTTGCTTAAATTAAATTGTTTTTCTTAGAAATGGAGGACTTGCGGTTTGAAATTCCACAAATAAGGTGGGGAAAATCCCGGGATCCGGGATCGTATTAGATATAGAGGGAAAACTACTAAAATATGATAAACAAGATCAACAAGGAAAGGCGGCGTTCAATGAACGCAAAAACTACTATACTAAACTATATTTGTAAAATACTATATTTGAGCCGCGTCACGACAAAACCAACGTAATGCCTTTGCGACCAGCATGGATCCAGACCAGCCTGCGCTTCCGCGCAGTCTGATCAGGATCCATGCTGTTGGCTATCAGTTTCTGTACTTGTTATAGGGTTTGTAAGCGAACAGCATGGATCCTGATCAGACTGCGCGGATGCGCAGGCTGGTCTGGATCCATGCTGGTCGCAAACCCACTATGTTGGTTTTGTCGTGACACGGCTCATTTGTGTAATGACTATTGTCGTAATGAAAGGCGATTTTAAAAACGTTAAATTGTTTAATACGATCCCAGCTTTTCTGAAAACTATATTCTTGAACTGGTCAATTTCCGGGATCCCTATATGTTTAAATACGGTCCCGGCTTATCTGAAAAAATATCTTCTTAGACTGGTCAATTTCCGGGATCCCTATATATGTAAAACGATCCCGGCTTTGCCCCTAGTTTTTATTTCTTTGATTACCCCCCCCCCTCCCCCGGTCTGCTGTCCCTTCCCATGTGCCCTTTGACTTTGTGGGCATGTTGTTCTATTATTTATTTGTTTTCTTTGAATTTCTTATCTGTTACAAATTATGTATCATTTTAGTGATTTAACAGTCCGTGCCCTGGACAAATGTTACAAATTATGTATCATTTTAGTGATTTAACTGTCCGTGCCCTGGGCTCCTTGCCACTGGTTCTTGTTGCTAGGTCGTGTGGGGGTTGCGTTCATTGAATGCCGCCTTTCCTTGTTGATCTTTTTTATCATATTTTATCTGAAAAATATCTTCTTAGACTGGTCAATTTCCGGGATCCCTATATTTTTTAATACGATCCCGGCTTTTCTGGCTGAATTGAT